AAGCACCTCGGACAGGTGTCGGTTGTAGATCCGTTCACAGGAATCTCCTCGAAAGAAAATACGTGGGAAACAAACTCTTTCATGACTGCTTTTTTCAAGGCAGTCGATGCCGACACCGAGTCTGAGTTTGAAACGCTCCGAGCAAAGATGAAGGACCACAGTTTGTACCTGGCTTCGTATCTGGACACAACGTGGTGGAAATACAAGGAGAGAATTGTCAAGGCGTGGACAGATAAATATCAACACTTTGGGGTTCGGGATACGTCGATCGTCGAAGGTACACATGCCAAATGTAAGTCGTGGCTCGGCAACAGTCGTGGAGACCTGTACACAGTGTTCAAAAGTCTCTTGCCATGGTGGAAAGGAGCTATATCAGATCTACGACTACTCTCGACACGCAACGCTGTCATCACGCCATTTCTTCTCCAGCCGAGCAGGTATGCTGCTGTGGTGAGGGTAGTCTCAGTTCATGCCCTGATCTTGTCAGAAGCCTTGTGGGGAGATGCGTGCAAGATTGTCTACAACCGACTGAATCGGTCTTCATGTTCGGGGACCTTCAAGTCGATTCATGGGAGGCCATGCTTGCATGATCTCATAGCCATCATAGAATCGAACGGTCGTCTTCGGCTTCTGCCTCAACACTTTGTTAAACACTGGTGGATCAATCGATTTATCCCTGTCAGTCAAGTCCGACGCATATTGGAGCCTGCTTCCATTGTGAGAACAACAAGAACAAGAAATTGAAGCGCCCGATCCACGCATCGGGCCAACATGGGCACGCACAGTACGAGACGCGAAGCTACTTTCAGCGAGCGGATAGATCTAAATCATCCGGCTTCTCCTCCTGGCGCTCTACGCAGCAATGGTGGTCTCAGCCATATAGTTATGCTGCCACCATTGCAGAACGTAGTACCAATGCAAGATCCTGACAATGCGTCGTATGAGCAGCCATACCTTCCGCCTCGTTCTTGGGGGTACGCTGGATGGAGTGAATGAGTTGATAATATTTTTCTGGTAGCAAAATGATATCAACGCAAAATAAGAAAATGTATACTTTTTACAGCTTCAACTTAATAGTTTCTCAGTTCAGGACAGTCATTAAGTGCAAAACAAGTGATGCAGGTGTCCAACCGTGGTATTGCCTTTAAAAGAGACTGTTCTACACTTCTATATCTGCGTGAGGTCGCGAAATGTGAGTGCGATAGGAGCTCGGATTGGTATATCGTTTACCGCACACACTACAGACGCGTAAACCACTTGCTTGATCTTCTCTCTTTCGCTTGTTCCTATTTGCCTACCCGTTCGGATTTTTGGTACAGTAAAACCGATGTGTCCTCATTTTACTGCTTTCAGTCAGCTCTAGGCTACAGAAAGCACAAGTGTAAGTCTTAGGTAAAACACTCGACACAATATCAGGCTCCAAGACATTACGTCACAATATCAGGCTCCAAGACATTTTGTCGTATGCTAGGTAGCAGTGAACTTGAAAGTTTTCAATCGAGTAGGCCATTCCATTATGAATCAGGTCTCCACGAAATATCAGAGCATATCCAACAGGAATCTCCACTTTGCGAGCTTTCGAATCATCACGAATAGTAAAGCAACCGTCGAACACACGCAAACTGGTGCCAGGTTGAAGTGCTAGCAGCATGCTGGCAGGAATACGCTGGTATCGCTTGTTTGATGTGGTATTAACAACCGGCGGTGGGTAGTCCATGTGTGGTTCCTGCTCCACTCCGCCTGGAAGTGATCGCATGTACGAAAACTCGCGAGGAATCCACCGTGGGTCCATATAAGCTGTGCTGGCGCGAAAGGCTCGGCTCAGTTCGTTGATCGCCGCTGACGACTCACGAGGATTTACACGGGATTGGGCCCTAAGGCTGTCGTCGTTTTCAGCCCCGACTTCAGCGAAGACAGATCTGTAGTCACGTTCTTTGGCTTCATTGAGCAGAACCGCCAGAACGCGGTTGGACAAGCCTAGGTATACCACTTGATAACCTCGGTCAGGAAGTGAAGGCTTGGCTCGCTTGGACACCATCTCGAAGTGGGACGGCAACGCTGGTTTGAGACGGAAACGGAGTTGGCGTGGGACGGAAATACCCATCTGAGCCGGAAACGCGCAGCTTTATAGTTGGACTTTGTAAGCAGTCAGAATGAAGCCAGATCTGGTCAGACTTTGTTTTGTTCACGCTGATCTTTTTTTGAAATTGGCTGCAGATTTGAAATGGCCCTCCTTAGACAGGGGAGAAACTAACGAGCGCCCTCATCGGGAGGGCCCTCGCATAAAAAGTACACGATTGGGATAGGCAGAGGAGATAGTCAGTAAGTACCAGTATAATACCGGTTTAAATAGATGTAGACGAACTGCAGACGAACCACAAAAGGTTGTCAAATACAAAGAGCTCACAACGTGTTGTTATCTTACCTCCACCCCAATCTGTGTACGCCCCGCATGACCTAGCTGAAGAAGCGTTGCATCAGTGGGCTAAAGATCACGGTCACGTCGCCGAGTTCGGTAAGAACACTCAGCACTTGACCAAAGAGACCCGAGCGTCCACCATACGAGGTTCAAAACGCTCAGGATGTCCCATGCGCATTGCATTGCATGCTGTCAGCAAGGCAGAAACCGACGGGCCTTGGAAGATTGTTCACACGGCACGGAGCGCTCACCATAACCACGAGCCGTCCCGGGACATTCGTGCAATATCATTGCTGTTACCGGAGCTAATACGGCTCTTCCCGTTGCTCAATGTTGGCTTCTTGGTGAGAAAGAAGAAAACTTCGTTTGGGCTTTCAACATGCTACGTCTCTTCATGATTGAGAACGATATAGACCCTCCTAACGTAAACGTTCACTCCGTATGCCCCTCAGAATCCTCAAGCTTTTGGAGCTCAAGCTGGTGATCAAGTACAGCCTTTCAAATCACCCTTCTTACCAGCGAGGCCGTGGAGGTATGCCGGAAGTGCACTTTACTTAGATCAGAGTGAGCGAGAGGAATAGACGTTGTTTAAACACATTCGTAATTCCATCAATACATTGTGGGTGACACTAATCAACAAACCGCAGAGAAAACGGGTAGTTTTTATACTAAAAAGAAGAATTGTAACGGGAACGCTAATTTGTAACGGGAACGCAGTACCAAAGTTGAAGATCTCGACCAATTAAAAACGAGTAAACATAATTTGTCCAGTCAGGTGAGCTTATCATCTTCCATCCATTTAAGCTAACCGTACGTCTCAATTCTAAGCGGAGTGTTCCCTCATCTTGTGGACTCGTAGCGATCTCTGGTGCTTGAACATCTCATCGCACACCACACATTTGTACTCACCTTCCTCGTACTCACGTTTGCGCTTCTGTTTGTTCGCAGCCCCCTTGGGGTTCTTTTCGCAGTAGAAGCGGTGTTTCCGAATTGCTTGACCCTTCTCCACCTTTTTGCCGCAAAACATACACTCACCGTGTTCAGGAAGTGCGTCTTGAGCGATATATGGTGTCCATTTCAACCATGCGTAGGTAAGGTAGCAGTGAATGCGGTAGTTACTTGTGGTGTACGGCATTCCGTTGTGTATGAGGTCACCTCTGAAGAGAACACAGAATCCAACCGGAATGTCCACGACGCGCGCCTTGGAGTTGTCGCTTGCAGTAAAGGAACCAGCATAGATGCGGAGCTTCGTGCCGGGCTCCAAAGAAAAAATCATGCTGGCTGGAACACCATCCGGGCGAAGGTTACGGGCTCTCACCAAGTCACTCTCTTGGTAGTCTTGGTGGGGCTCCTGTTCTGAGCCCCCAGACATCGACCGCATGAAAGAGAAAACACCAGGCTCCCACCCAGGGTGCAGCATGGTGACAACCACCTTTAGAGTCTTGCTCAACTCCTGTAGAGGCACTGACAGGGTGCGAGAGCTCACGCGCGATTGCTGTCGGAAGTTGTCGTCTTTACCACCCACGCGATTAAAGACACCATTGTACGGACGCGCTTTGGCTTCCGCTAGGAGCGACGGAACTACCGTATCAGGAAGCACAAGGCCCACAGGCAGATAGCCATGCGGAAGCAATGACCCTGTTGGTAGTTTCTCCATTTGAGGCTTTGGAGATCGGAGAGTGGTAGATGTAACGGGAACGCGATTTGTAACGGGAACACGATTAAATCGTGCTCCGATTTTTGTAACGGGAACGCGATTTGTAACGGGAACGGTTTTTAAAACGGGAACGGTTTTTATAACCGGTATTATACTGGTACTTACTGACTATCTCCTCTGCCTATCCCAATCGTGTACTTTTTGTGCGAGGGCCCTCCCGATGAGGGCCCTCGTTATTATAGTTTCTCCCCTTAGACAGTCCCTCCGTATTGATGTGTGTCGCTTGGTTGTTTTCATCGCCATCACGCACTTCGTAGTTGTTCGGAAGACCTGGCTCATTCGACCTTCTTCTGCGTGAAGTACTCACTACGCCGAAGTACACTTCGTTTCTTCTAAAGTAGAATGTCCTCGCCGCTGAGTGTGGTGCTCCTATTCGTTGCACTCTTTGCACTATCAGTGCAGAGTAAGACTGCAATCAACAGCACGACGCAATGGCCATCGCTGCGATTTCACTTCGTAGTCAAGCGCGACTCCATGAAGGTGCACGGCCAATCGGACTTCTCCATGTACGCCAACCCCATTATTTCGAACACAGCGGACAGTGTACTCTACAACGTGTTCGCGACGTTTACAGAAGCCTCAACGCTATTCAACTACACACTTATCAATGGTGTCGCCCACACCACGACCACTCCCTATTCCGGCAGCTCCAAGGCCTCTACATCCGTAAGCTGCGTAGACGCAGAATCGAGTAAACTCCCTGATATCAACGCTATCGTCAGCGCTTTGAGCAACGCTAAAGGGACGTCAACTCCGAAAGGGATTACCTGTGATAGTGGGAGTGGGTATAAGGTCACGGTTAAAGGCGTTGACTTCGCCTTATGTGCTTTGGGGTCCACTGGATTCACATTGCACGGAACTGATATGGATATCGACGTCGAGTTCCTCGAAAGTCCCATCGACATTGTCGTTCCCACTCCCAAAGCTAATACGGAATGCGAGAAAGTAGCGTCACCGAGTTCGGTTACCGTAACCAGTAAGCTGTTACTTACGGGACATTATTTTTCGGGCACAGTAAGAAACTTGAAGGCTACGAGTTTCTCGTTTCGGGACAAGTCCACGTGCTCTTGTAAGTCGACACCGCGTCCGTGTGTCTTCATCCACGGTCTTGGTGTTAAAGATGAAATGCCCGAGAACCAAGACGAACTTACGGATTATTGGGGAAAATACTTAGCTGGACATGGACCATGTTGCTCGTCCATCAAGTTTTCGCATCTGAACACAGTAGACAGCACCTGGACAGATCCAACTCTGCAGGATAAAGTATGCAACCGCGCATTAACAGCAAGCAACACCAGCAAGGACGCGGTAATCAGCGACACTATCGTCGTCACGCACTCTATGGGAAATGTCATGTTCGCTGGAGCGCTCTCTACCGGTAAATGCAAGCTTGATGCGAGCTCAACGTGGGTGGGAATGGCTGGCCCCATGATGGGGAGCATATGTTCGGACTTTGTCCAGGACTCGTGTGCTGGTAAAACGAATATTGTGTGGGAGAAGATTGGGAATATTACGGGACGATGCCCTCCGAACACAGCGTTAAAGTCGTTAGCGTATGAGGGCGGAAGCTACAGCTCTGAGGCAGTGACTGCAGCGTATAAAGCGGCTCAAGAGGTGTACCGGACGAATGTATCGGCTCTAATGTGCGGCAGGTCAAGCTCTGGACTGATATCGAAGTATCAAGCTCAGTTCTGGGGGCTTAGCACGATGGTCCCTCATAAGTCCAAGTTGAATGATGGAATGGTGGAATTCCAGAGCTGTGCTGCGGGATTTCCCGAATCCAAGTTTGGAGCTAACTACCGCGATCGTTTCTACGTGACGAAACTCAACCATTACGACATGCAGTTTCGAGCTGGCGATTCGCTGCTAGACGAAGAGAAAATGCCTCTGAAGTGGTTTGACTGCCTTTTGTAGTTGGTGCTGAGCTTGTTACAAAATATAGAGGTGTTTGCGTTTGGATACGGGGTCAATGGTCAAACGCTAACTTTTAGGGTATATTTTTCACTAGAAAAAACTGGTGTTTCATACTTGAAAAATAATACAAGTCTCGTTGCAGTATTAATACATCAAACTCGAGCTTAAAGCCTAAAAGCATACCTTACAGATCTCAGTGTATACAAAAAGTGCTACTAGTTATTCTAAAACATTGATAAGGCCTGGAGTTTAAACGTGAAAAAATGAAAAAGACATATGATGCTTTAAGAAGTTACTGCAGGAGTAAGCTATAACTTATCAAAAAAAAATGTATTAGTCACAGCCAAGAGCACACAAGTCCAACTCCTCATTTGCATAATCTGTCGTCGATCGAACTACTTGTGGGCTTGTTCGGCCAAGTTTCTCGATGTCATTTTCCGTTTGATCGCTGAGAATAATACTGGTGTCTACGGGCCCATTCCTACCAAAAAGATGCGCTTTACCTGCTTCCTAATCCTGCTCGTTACTATGTTCGCCACAAGCAGCAAGAGCTTCGCTGGCGCCTTCGAGATTGGTCCAAGCCGTAACATCGCTCGTGCGTCCGACGTCAAGCTCGTCGACAGTGTTCGTCGTCTCAGGGGGTATGAGAAGCTGAATAAAGAAGAGAGGATAGCAACTGTAGCTGCGGTCGCTGCGGTACATCTGGGTCGTACGAATTCTATGCAATCGTCACAGATTGCGCATTCGGCGGGAAAATATGTCCCGATGTCGAAGTGGGAGGTGGGTGTGCTTGCTCTGCTGGCTGCTGGAGCGGTATCTGGCACTGCTTATGGCCTTTATAAACTAGCGCGGTCAGCCGAATAAAAAGAGTAAGAGCTTATACAGCAAAAAATAAGCACTTTTAAGTATCGTTTAACATGAACAATAAAAAACTCGAAAGTACTCGCTTCTTTTCAACGGAGGTACCTTTACCCCACATTGCCGCGAATGAGGTACTCCTTGTAAGCAGCTTCCAAAGCGCTCACTAATACCATACCAAATCGACCACCGAGGACAAAAATGTTGTGTCACAGATAGCAGTGCATTATTTGTTATACCACACACACGGTAGATTCTGAAGTACAAAAACATACTTTGGCTATTATCGTAATATAAATAAAAAAACAGTTTGACATAACTGTACGTAAAACGGTCGCAATACGTAATGAAATGCAAAACCTTATCTCTAAACATTTTCGACCAGGACAAAGTCGAGCTTCGCCGGATTAAGCTCTAATTTTTAAATCGTTTTTCGCTATCAATACTAACGAGTCACTACACCGTTAGGTAGATAAAATCGATTAACGTAGGAGGATTGAGGTTTCGTGTTGTGATGCATCTACGACCCGACCGTTTTACTAGCTGGAGTTTATGGAGTTGGAGCAAGGAATTTACAAAAATCCGGATTAGCCTACAATATATCTCCGTGGATGCTCCTATACTTACCTCAAGTGGAGCTATAAGGGGTCGGTCTTGCTTCGTGGCCCTCTAGAAACCGCTTACAAGTACACAGTGCGCGCCGTAAATATGATCGCACCCCTAATTCCGGGTTAATTTTGCTAAAAAAAAGGCGTTTTTAGCTCTGAAACTGGTTGGTGAGCTAATGATATTTTTTGTTTACCAGTAGGACGACTTGGGCCGGGGACAAAAAAGTCTGTGCCCATACGTGTCTTTTAGCTTTCTACCGAGTTAAGTAAGCCATGCGGTACATCAAAATACACCCTGTTATGCTCTTTAGCGTGGAGGCTTTTGCCTGTCCGAGAATAGATAAGCGGTTGGAGGTCATCCTGCTTCTTCAAAAGCCTGAGGAATGTACTACCTATGTGTCTCAACATCGGCTACTCGAAAGATCCGTGCGCCTGCTAACTTACTGTCATCTGAAGTTTTCTCGCCTACACGGGCGTGTGTGCCGGTAAGATCCTATGCTCAGTGCGGTATCATTCCATAGTAAAAGAGGTGTACTTATGCGCGACTAGGGATGGGGACATAGAAAACGTAAACTATAAAACAAAACAAAAAAATAGACTAGACGTAAGGTTAACGTTTTCGAGACGTAACAGAGGATTCGAAATCTGCTTTGGACCAGAGCCTCTGTCTACTCCTATCGCTGGAGCAGAATCTAGAGCAAATTGACCGGGGATACAGCTTGCTCAACCAGCCACCACTGAAGAAGACACACCTCCACCATCGTCACCTCCTCCACTTCCGCTGTTCAAGATGCCACGTGTTCATAAGCAAGAATACTGGTCATTCGTTCGTCTTGTAGCGCCCAGCACAAAGATGCCACCAGGCCAAACGGCTTGGAAAACAATGGATGCAGAATTAGCCTACTGTCTCAAGTGCGAAATTACGTTTAAGTACAAGTCCGGAAGTAGTGCAAGTAATCGCAATCACATGACCCATGAACATCCCCTCGAACTCGGAAATGCTGGCCAGGACACGGCCGTTAAGCGCGTGACGAACGCACTCGCTTCAAAGCGTGAATCAAGTGCGGTGATCTTCTTTCCAACAAAGAGAAGAAAGAAGATCAACCCAGCTGAAGAAGAGATGACTACTCGAGCGCTGATTGAATGCACATTTGCCTTACCAATATTACATTATCACCTCTTTCTTCGCGCTTCATCAAAGGCTCCTACGGTAATTATCTATCACACAGTCTTCCATCACTGTAGCACATTATGAAGGTGGAGGTGGAGCTCGTCGCTGATGCCGTGTCGCAGCCTCCTTCGTCGAGTCGAACAGCCCGAGGTCTCCTTGCCCTATCTCGGGAGCCTTCTCGATGCTCTCCTGCGAGTTTTTCTGCTGCTCGTCAAATAAAGCCTACCTGTGAAATAGCATAAATAAACGAAAGACTTATCACAATGATGGACGTAAACTTTACGTAAGAAAAACGCGAACGGGAACTTTTCGACGGGAACGGGAGCCACCAAATCCTTACGTTAAATCCGTTAACGTCCTCATCCCTATGCGCGACACGGGTAGCATTTGTATATTTTGCTGATCAAACACAGGTATTGTCTCACTGTATTCAGGTATTACTTTTCATTACTTATAAACGTTATGGATATTTATATCCGGGTTATGATTTTGCGTAAATTGAAATACCAGCCGAAATGAAAATATTGTACCCATAGCAAAGACATTGCTTGATCGGATGCTGAGCATGCGCTTCGCCATCGATGACGGCACGATACCACCAAAAAAAAATCAGTTGCTGGAGGACCATATTAAAATTTGCCTTTCAGCAAGAACAAGCCATCCCACCTATCGTCGTCACGCAAACAATGCGCTCAACTTCCGCTCTTCTCTTCACTGCAACCATTCTCCACGCTTGTAACGACGTTCTGTCAGCTGTTGCGGACAAGGACACATCCAAGCTTGACAAGGCACTAGCGCCTACATCAATTCTGCTGGCTCCTTCCCATCGAAGCTGACGACGGAAAGCGGCTTCTGAGAACGAACAGAATAAGTGACATTGTCGACGATCGTATGGGCGATGACGACATTAAGAACGCCACCGATGGAGAAGAAAGAGACGGGACAATAAGAACGCCAGCTCAGAGGATCATGAAAGGCTGTCGAAGGGCACTACGCCGGACCAGGTGAAAACCAAGTTGAGCATCTCAAGTCATACTCCCAATGACAGCGCGGTTTATGCTCTAAACACAAACTTCCTCGCGTCGCACATGAAAGCGCATCACATCGTGAAACGCGTTTAGTTTCATGAAGAGCTATTTGATGCTGCCATTCATTTCCCAAGACACGGAATCGCTTTTATGTTTTACACTACTTCACCTTCCATCCCGTTGAATGGAGTTTTTTTTGTTTTTTATAATACTGTAGTCAACATTGTAGGACTTGGTCCTTAAAAAAATTAGTGATGTTATTGCTAATTACCCAAGGTAGATTCTTTATTACAATCCTTATCTACCTAAGACCTGCATGTATTCCAGCAGAGAAAGCATGTACAGCTTACTCGATTTTATATAAATGGAATCATCGAATTATTAATAAAACGAGGCGACAAAAGCCGATTTGAAAAATTTCATCCGAGGGAGGCCATTATGAATTTTTTGGGATACCTCGCGTAAGCGCGATGTAGAAAACAAAAATTAAACCCGATACTTATGTGCTGCACCCAGCACATCATTAAAATGTGACCAATCAGAACCCTTTTGTTGCTCTTTATTTTAATGACCCCCCCTGTAAAAAATCGACTTAGAACATCGGGTACAGTGTACCATCCAGTTCTGGTATACTACTGGTATCGAGGTTAGAAAAATATTCGATCAACACTACCGGTATCACCGGCGCCTTCTCGTTTGTGCTCTGATTTGCTGACGTGTAACATACCGTGCTCCGATGCTTTTGTATGGAGAAAAAAATGGAGTGCCAAATGTGCCAAAGCACAAAGATAAGAAGATAGGCGATCGAGGATTCAAACGGCAAAACTCTCCTTTCACGAACTGAACTTCGATCCAAAACTTCACTCGTGTTTTCAATTGCTACTCAGTTTTCTTTTACCGAGTCAGGTTGCAAGACTTCTATCGTCCATCTCAACGTTGTGGGGTCATGGCGTCTACTCTTTCAGGTATAATAGTCGCCTCTGCGGTGATGCTGGTACTCTTCGTACACGTTGCTGTTGCTCAGCCAAACGATTGGCCGTCGCTACGCTTCCACTTCACACTCAAGCGCAGCTCCATGAAGGTCCATGGCGAGACCGACTTCTCCATGTACGCCAATCCGATCCTGTCCGATAGCGACGACAAAGTTCTCTACGACGTCTTCGCTTCGTTCACGGACGACACGACACTGTACAACTATACACTGATCGACGGAGCTGCTTACGCGTCAACCACTCCATTTTCAAGCAGCCTATCAGATAAGGACAAGGTTACTCCGTCTGTGGACTGTGTGGACTCGGAATCTGGCACTCTGCCAGCCATTAACGCTATCGTTACTGCGATTAATAAGGCTACTGCTGTATCCAGTGTGAAGGGCGCGGGGAGTGACGCTATATCTGGGTTTCATTGCCGGAAATTATTCCCGGAAAGATGAGATGGAGGTCGTCTGCGTGGTATAATAGCAACCGAAAACCATATTCCCCCCCTCATTTCCAATGCACGTTTCGTGGATGTAAATGCCCAAAAATGAGCAGGTTCGCACACCACCAGTCTGGTTGTGTGGTGTCCTGGTGGCACCAGAACTTCGAAGGATCAACAGACTTCAATACAGCTTCCTGCACATAAATATTTGCTCTGTCAAGCGCTACTCGCCTGTTGTGCAAGAAAAAGTAGAAACAATTGTGAAGATAAAACAACAAATAATTTGGTTGTGACGTTAGAAGTCGCGGAAGTGTGCAACTTGCCATCAACGAATCGTAGATTGATGGAGGCAGCGTGTCGTATACCTCCTCTTCCTTCGAGGGTCGGGTAGTCCGCGGCTGTTCAGGGAGTACAGTCTTGTTCAGTGGCTGCAGGAACGGTAGATAGGAACACGAGAGAGTTGAAAATAAAAGTTTGTTGATTGGCTTGGCTTCCTCTTGAGTAGAAGGAAGGAAATATAAGACTGAGAGCTAACCGGAAGAGAGGCCTAACACCTTCTCGACCTTACATACACTACACTACATACAAAAAAAGGAAGGATTCACTTCGTTTGTTGTCGGCCTTCGTGGGACAACGGAGAGCTTCTGGGAAGGGGCTTGATGTCGCGAGGTGCTTTTGGTCCCACGACGCCAAGACTCCGGCGTTCTGGGGTCCCCTTATAGGACCACCCTAACGGGCTCGGTCAAGGGTACGTGCGAGGTTGAGTTCAACGGGAACCAC